GTTGTTAGGGGTAGAAACCAGGGCCTTGCATCTGCTAGGCAAGTACACTACCACTGAGTTACACTCCAACGCCAATACTGTTTTGAAGACACAATAATTAATACACAAAATTCTAATCCTCATGGAGCTTATATCTATTATTTGTTAATGTTACCGCTGTTGACGGGTGACGAGTCCTTGCTTCCCCAATGTTGAAGAATAACACCAGAGAAGCACACCGAGGCAAGGTCAGAGTGGAAAATTAGAAGTTTATTAAAGGACAACAGAAAAGACTTCTCCGGGAGGAAGAAGGGGACCCAAGAGGTGGAATCCATTGAAGGGCGAATGTGTTCCCCTTTTTATAGTTTTTGGTGATGGAATGTAGATGGGAAGGGTCGGGACACAGGTAGGCCAAAGAAGTAATCTGGGCATTTCCAAGTCAAGTTTGCTGTTCATTAACATTTCTTTGGGATGGGCTATCTCCAAATCTGTGGGGGCTGTTTCCTGGGCTTCATTAACATTCCATTCCAAGAGTTGCTCAGCTTTTCCGGAAATTCATTCTCAACATGGCCTCCATTTTAGATTTCACTGGATATTAGACCCGATTTACCTAACTACACTGACTACCTAATTTTAAATCTGGCTTCATTAAGACACTAAAATCAGTACTGTTTCAGTTCCTAAAATACATAAAATTAGCTCAGTAGTTTTTATTAAGGATTCAATGAATGCATATTGAATATTTATATATGGTGAAAGTACTTTGTAATCTGTGAATCACCCCAAATTAAGTCTCCTCTATAAGCACTGCATGAATTTGATTACCTGAGTTATCAGTTGGCCTTGTTCTTAATTGTATAAGGAAAATAAAGTCACCTACTAGCTTGACTATGGATACTCCCAAGGAGACAAGAACTTGAATTGACACCTCTTTGTCCCACAGTTGGTAGGAATACAGTACAAATTCCAGCTCAGTGATTTCCTAAATGTGGTCTGTGGACAGCTGCATTAGGATTATTCAAAATGGCAGGTTACCAGGCCTCCATCCCAAGATTGGGGGGTTACAAATGGGAATCTCAGGAGGACTCAGAATTTGCATGTCTAACAAGCTCCTGAAGTAATGCTGGGGGTACTCTATAATGTTTTAAGTTACCAACATATTCAGTAACACGGCTAGATGGGAATAACTCTGGAAGCTAAGCCTCTTCTAAGAGGTAAGTCTGGCCAGGCGTGGTGGCGCACGCCTGAAATCGCAGCGACTGGAGTGGTTGTGGTGAGGCAGGAGGTTCAGAAGTTCGTGACCAGCCTCAGCAATTTAGCGAGTCCCAAAAAAACTTAGTGAGAACCTGTCTCAAAAGAGAGAGAGAGAGAGAGAGAGAGAGAGAGAGAGAGAGAGAGAGAGAGAGAGAGAGAGAGAGAGAGAGATGTGTGTGTATGTCGGGATATAGTTCAGCGGTTATGCGCTCTGGGTTCAAACCCTGGTCCCCCCCACAAAAAAAAAAAAAAAAAAGCCAAGTCTAAGTTCCGTGGGGGAAGTTAGGGCTCTTCGTGTTGTTCCATTGATGGCAAAATAATTGCTATTATTCCCAATCTCTCACATCGCTAACATTCAGATTGTTGTGACAAACTGCCTGCAGGATTGTTCCCATGAACGGTCTAGACCCTTGCCTGGGCCACGAGGCCCTACCGACCTTGCCTACAAGTGCAGCGCGGGGCGGGGGGAAGGAAGCCAGGACATGAGTTTCCGTTGCCAGCAACCAAGATGGCGGCAAGAGCGTCGCCACCACAAAAACCACATGCCCTGTGCCCCGCCTCAACTCCCCCACCCCGTTCTCACCCGACTTTTGCAAGTCATTATGGGAACCATCAGAGGTGCAATTCCGCGCTCCTGGGCGATACCCCTCCTATCCTCTGTCCTGAGCCCTTTTCCCTAGCCACAAAATGTGCGAAAAAGGATCAACCTGTAACACCGCCCGCCTCAAAAGCACGATGCCAGACCCTGGGGCCTTCTCCCCACTCATTGGTGGGCCCACGCCATGGGGCGGGCATAGACACCCATTGGACTGTGGGTCATGTCAGTTTTGGGGATACGGGCCAGGGGAGAAGGAGGTATATTCAGCTATTGGGCTTTCTTTGCTGTCAATCAGAGCAACATCCGGCGGAGGCCGTAGTTTCGGCTCACTGATTGGAGGAAGTGTTTTGGTGCCCCGGCGGGCGGGTTTCCGAGTGCAGTGGAAGGAGGGGGCGGGGAGGGAAGCGGAGGTAGGGAGCGCTAGGCCGGCTGGCGGTGGCGGCGGCGGCGACGAGGCTGGGACTTGGGCTGAAAGCCTGCTGTGGCAGTAGCGGTGGACGCCAAGCTCAGCAGCGGGTACCGGCACTTTTCTTTTCCTGAGGGGCGGGGCGCGCGCTGGGGGGTTGTGAGGCTTATAGGGTGAGGGGCGGCGGGATGTGGTTGAGGGGCTGGAGACCGGAGCCCGGCGACCAAGCGGGGTTTCAATCCGGGTCGGACCCTGGGCCTGGTAGGGAAGAGCCGCGGGGCCGAGGAGAAAGCTAGCTCCTGGGTGGGATGGACTGGGGAGGGCTGAGGGCAAGAGAAGGCGTGGTGTGAGGCCGGCTTGCGAGTGGGGTGGGGCCACGGGACCGGAGGGCGGGGTGAAGTTTGCCTTTAAGGGTGAGTCAAGGCCAGAAAGGTAGCACTTGTTCGCTTGCTGCCCCAGAAAGCTAGAAGCCGAGGAGCCGAGAGTAGGCATGGCGACTTGGTCCCAGCCGGACTCGGGTATTCGGGGCAGGGTGGGACCGGACTCAAGCCACGGCCTTTTGGCCTTAACTTGGTCTTTAAGGAGAGAACTTTGTCTGGTTTCTCGAACTTAATTAGTTCTTTAGGTTTTGTAACAAGTTGCATGGGAACGGGAGGGTAGCGTAAGCAGGAATTCAGGGTTGCATTTGTGTTTACTCGGACCAAATGAGGGTGTGCGTTTGCGTGGGCGTATGTGTATGTGTAGATCTTGCTTCCAGTTTAGAATGAGGTTGGTGGAGGAGAGGAGAGGGATATGTCTTGGTTTATGTGATTAATGGAAGCTCAAAAGTAGAAGCCAGAAACTGAAAGGCACATTTGCCCTCTCCACAGTTGGCAGTGTGGGTTGAGAACTTGGCCTTATCCTTCTGCTTTGGCTCAGAAGGTCATATGAATGAAGATAAGACCTGCCTATTCAAATTGTAGATAGAACAATCCTATGAATGCCCCCATCGCCCCCCCTCCCCACTTTGTCTCTCTCTCTTTTTTATTTTATTTTTATTATTTATTTTTAGTTGTAGATGGACACAATGCTTTATTTTGTTTATTCAGTTTTATGTGGTGCTGGGAACCCAGGGCCTCACACATTCTAGGCAAGTGCTCTACCACTGAGCTACAACTCCGGCCCTCGCCCTCTCCTTCTCCCTCTCCTTCTCCCTCTCCTTCTCCCTCTCCTTCTCCCTCTCCTTCTCCCTCTCCTTCTCTCCCCCCCCCTCTCTTAATGTGAAGATGCTAGGAAATGGAAATCATATTTCAAAGTTGGGAAAACAAAAGGCACTATTCTATTGTGTGTAATGGTGAACTGAACATTGTCCTCGTGTTTTTACACACTCTCACCCATTAATAATCTCTCCCTCCCCTTCAGAACTGGAAGGGAGGATCCTAAGCAGTTTTCTCCTGAGAGATGGGAAACCAGCTTTCTTTTAAGATAGGAAATGGTCTTCTCATGCTAAAAATAGAAGCCGGGTAATGTTGTGCCTGTATGAGGGGGGAAGGGTTGGTAAATCAGACAAAGTTTAAGGTAGTTTGGATGCTCTGGGCATTTTCTGCTTATCCAAAGCAAGCTACTTTTAAATTACAAATTTAATGTGCAGTAAGAGATCTTTTCTCATCAGGACTTTGCTCTTAAAATTATTCTGTCTATAACAGGTTGCTTTGTTTTTTTTCCTGAGAGTTTAACTGGTTGGGTTTTTTTTTTTTTTTTAACCCTGTAAAATTGGCTTTTTAATGTGTTTCCTGTCTTCTGTCATGAACATCATGTGAGAAGTATGGAATCTTATCTTGTTGCTCTTGTGATTCCTATTTCAGGTTTCTCTGGAAACCCCCCTGGTAAGTGTGGAGGAGGCGGGACACTCTGACCCAAGACAAAAGGCCTCTAGCTCCAGCCAAAGAAAATAAACCTTAGGAGGGAGAAGGAAAAAAAAAAAAATCCATCAGCTGTTCCTGAGAACAGCCTGCAGTGGAATCTACAGAGAGGACAACTAATGTGAGTGAGGAAGTGACTGTATGTGGACTGTGGAGACAGTAAGTCACGTGGGCCCTCAGGGCCTGGACTGGGTTAGGAACAGTTGTACTTTCAGAGGTGAGGTGTCAAGAAGGGAAAAGTGAATGTGGTCTGGAGTGTGGCCTTGGCTCCACAGGGTGTGCTTTCCTCTGGGGCCATCAGGGAGCTCAACCCCTGTGTTCTGCCAGGGTGGGGTACAGGGTTTGGCACTGAGGAGGGTAACCTGCTGGCTGGAGCGGCAGAGCAGTGGCCTTGATTTGTCTTTTGGAAGATTTAAAAACCAAAAAGCATAAACATTCTGGTCCTTCAGCAATGCTTTCTCTGAAGAAATACTTAACGGAAGGACTTCTCCAGTTCACCATTCTTCTGAGTCTGATTGGGGTGCGGGTGGACGTGGATACTTACCTGACCTCACAGCTCCCCCCGCTCCGGGAGATCATCCTGGGGCCCAGTTCTGCCTATACTCAGACCCAGTTCCACAACCTGAGGAATACCTTGGATGGCTATGGTATCCACCCCAAGAGCATAGACCTGGACAATTACTTCACTGCCCGGCGGCTCCTCAGTCAGGTGAGGGCCCTGGACAGGTTCCAGGTGCCAACCACTGAGGTAAATGCCTGGCTGGTTCACCGGGACCCGGAGGGGTCTGTCTCTGGCAGCCAGCCCAGCTCAGGCCTCGCCCTCGAGAGTTCCAGTGGCCTCCAAGATGTGACAGGCCCAGACAACGGGGTGCGAGAAAGCGAAACGGAGCAGGGATTCAGTGAAGATTTGGAGGATTTGGGGGCTGTAGCCCCTCCAGTCAGTGGAGACTTAACCAAAGAGGTTAGTGGCCCTATGGTGGGTGGGTGGGACCTGGGGGTTTGGGAGGAGTGGGCTGGTCCTGAAGGACTGTGGTCACAGCATTAAGACCTATAAAGAACCAGACAGGTTCTAGGGGGTCTCAGGCACTGTACTTGGCTAGAAATGGGATGAATTGTCTGACTTTAGGATTAGGGGCTGGGAGCATTTCCCTGTGTGGAACCATTGACCCACCTCTAAATGTACTGTCAGGTCAGTGGGAGGTTCCTAAAACATGCCAGTGTGTTTACTGCTTGGATTTCAACATGACTACTGAAAGTATGAGGTGGGGGAGGGTCATGTTGTGATGGGCTGTGATGAAGTGTGTATCTGTTGCTAAGACACATATTGTGGCCTCTTGCCTTGTACCTCCCCCAACATCAAAACACATGTACCCTAAAGTTTTCCTTTGTGGTCAGGCCTCTTGTTGTACAGTCCTGATAACTCAGCTCTCCTGGGCCTGAGCCAACGGGTAGACTTGGTAGTTATTCTTGGCCAGGAAAGGCCAAGGCTCCAATTCTTTGCTAAAAACCCATTGCAGGGAGTAGAGCAGAAAAGGCTGGAACCTAGAAAAGAAACTATTCTGCCCAAGTCAACTGCCTCCAGCTGTTAGAGGCGATCTTTAGCTCCTGTCACATGTCTAACACACTGTTTTGAACAGAAAGGGATGCGATTCTGGGCCTTTAATGATGCAGGTGGTTACTGTTGCCACTGCCTCACCTAAATGATAAAAATGAATTGACTTGCCCCTCGACCTTAAGGAGCTTGAGAAAAGGCCCACTGCATTTTCCATTAGGCTCTTTTTTTTTTTTTTTTTTTTTGGTCTGGGGTGGGACATGGAAGGATGTGAAAAGGTGTACAGGTGCTGCAGAGCTTGACTCTCTCTGCTTACCAGGTCAGGCCATGTTTTGCCTCCCTCACATTGGAGCCTGTTCCTGACCTCAGTTCTCTGTTAGTGACTGGCAAAAAATGTGACTTGTTTTAGGCCTATGATCTTCATCTGGGGGTGATTTTTGCCTCTCCTCCTGCCCTTAGGGTCAGGTGACAATATCTGGAGACAGTTTCAGTCCTTACAGCTTGGGATGGGTGCTACTGGCGTCTAGTGGGTAGAGGTCAAGGATGTTGCTGAACATCCTGAACAGTACAGAACAGCCCCTAAACCACAGTTTTATCTACCTCGCAACTATTATTGGTGCTGACTGGGAAGCTTTGCCTTCTGCTCATCTGGCTTTTATTGGATCTTCTGTGAGACAGGCAAGGATTATCCATCTGATCATAGGATCTAGGAGCATTTCTTGTCTTTCTGGACCTCTTGATTTTAGATCCTCGCGGTGACGGTTGGAACCTTACCTCTTTTCTGCTTCCCCTGTCCTTCAAGTGGACTCTAGTCTTGGCCCAGTGTTCTGAGGAAGCATGTTCCCAGCTTCTGATCTGTGGAATGGGCTGCTTTTGGGAATCGTACAGGAGTAGTTCCGTTCTGGTTGTGGGGAGCTCTTCTGGAATGAGATGTGGGATATCTGGGATGTCATTGGGCTGTTCAGTACTGGAGGGAATGGGATGGAACTTTGATTTCCCCCTTTCTTGTTTTCTTGGCCCTCAGTAAAGGTCATGCTTTCCCTGACCCTAGGCCTTCACCCTTCCTTTTGGGAGGAGGAGTGGGTCAGCCTTAGGAGCCCAATCTGGGAGGGGGGAAGGGAGGATTATGATGTGTCTAGAACAATATTTCCTCAGCAACTCAGGGATAAAAATACCCAGGTCCTGAGCATGTGACAGGCACTGCTGGAGCCGGTATTATCCCTGGGGTGGTGGCGCTCCCCTGCTGCCAGGCCTATTCGATGGACAGCTATAGCCTAGGCCCTTGTCAGGGATAGGATTCCCCTTAAGGTTGGCACTCTGCCCAGAGCAGGGGGTGGCCTGTTTACCGCTCTTTCCAGGCTAGGAGCAGGCTGTGACCAGGGAGAACACAGTGTCTCTCCGATATGACCTTAGGCTCCAGGGGAGCAGCAGCAGTGAGGAGGAAGCTAAATTTCTCCCTGAGAAACCAATCCGTGGAGTCTAAAGTGTGATCCTGATTTAGCCAGGGGCCTTCCCCCCTCCTTGTTTGGAGAGACAAGGTCAGGGAACAGGCAGAAAATGCAGTTTTAAAAAGTTAGGATGAAAGGGGGAGTGGAAGGCATATTTGTGGCTGGGGCATTGCCCAGCACCTGTCTCCCTAAGTGCTGTGTTTTCAGGGTTGTGTCTCCCCTCCTCCTGCTTAGGGCTAGGCCCAGCCAGCCCTGTGACATCGTTGCACGTGTGTGAAAATGGCTTTCCCTTTCCTCCAGTCTGGCCTGTTTTAGGGTGACAAAGCTGCTGGCCTTTTTTTTTTTTTTTTTTTTTAATTGGCTTGGGTGCCCTGGGTTCCTGCCCAGCTTAGTTTGTGATCCCTGGCCTTAAGGGCCGGCCCCAGCCTTCCTAAGAAAGTGAAAAACTCTTGACTTCCCAGCAAAGAATTTAGATTCCCAGCGAAGCTGCAGGAGGAGTGTCTGTCCAGTCCACAGTGGGCTGGAGGAGCAAAATGCGACAGGAGGGAGGAGAGTGGCACCCCTTCCCCCAGGGCACTCTCACTGCGCCACCCCAGCTGACTGACTGGGTTGGGTGGGGCTGCCCGCCCCTGGGTGCATCTCCTCAAGGAGACGGAGGCGGCCCAGGGATGGGCTGGTTCCTTGCGGCAGCTTCTCCAGCTGCCCTGGTGCAGAGATTGGCTCCCGTCTGCAGCTAGGTAACAGGCGGTGGGAGGGGATTGGCTCCTTCTGCATCTCCAGCGGAGACTTGGGGGAGGAGATTGGCTCCTGGCGCAGCCTAGGTAACGACAGTGGGAGGGGATTGGCTCTTTCCGCAGCCCAGCTGCTGACCTGGGGGAGGGGATTGGCTCTCTGCAGCCTCAGCAGTGACCTGCGGGGTGGGAGGGGGAGGGGATTGGTTCTTTGCTGCAGCCTAGGTAACAAGTTTGGGGGGCGTGGGAGGGGGAGAGAGGGAGGAGCGGGAGGTTAGGCCCAGGAGGGAGCTCGCTTTCCTCTGCAGCGTGAGCACGGAGCATGGGGTGGGAGTCCCGACTCACTGCAGCCTCTGTGGTGAGCTCAGGGTGGGGGCTGCCGGGCGCCTGAGTGGAACTGGGGTTGTGAGGTGGGAGGGGGCTGCTCCAGGATGGAGGAAGGGGGCTGGGCTGGGCCGCCCAGGCAGCAGCACGGGCGGGGCACCCTACTCAGGCCCCTCGGAGCTAGCAAGGGGCCACCCTTCCAGCCTGGTGTGCTCCCTGCAAGCCAAGAGCTCCTTGCAGCCCCCTGTCCGGCTTCCCAGCACCGGCTGCCCTGGGGCTCCTCTCGCAGACCATGACCTGCCTGGACCGCAGCTCTCACGGTGGTGGGGGCCATGCCAAAGGCAGCCAGCCCCTTAACTCTTTGCTGGCTGGTCACCAGGTGGCCCAGCCCCCCTCTGCTCCTGGGTCCAGGGCTTCTGTTCAGGTTGGTGTATGGTGGGAGACTGAAGGGGAGAGGTCCACGTGGGAGGTCTTAGGATCGGGAGGATTGTGGTGGGAAAGGGTACTGTGCCCTGCTTAGGGCTAGGGAGGTGTCTACTCTAAGGATATTGTTCTCTGGAAAGTGTGCTTTTTAATCCTGAATGGAAGGCAGCACTTGAGGGTTTCTTCCCTTGTGGGGAAGACTTTTGCCAGAGGGAGCAGCATGTATAGGAAGCGCAAATAGCTCTACTTATCAGGGTTCTGTTGGTAGCAGTGCGGGTGGCAGTTGATGCAAGAACTCTTCAGGAGCCACAGGGCAGAGGGGAAGGAAGGCATTTTGATGCCCAAGGTGGCGATGGGAACTAAGCAGTGATGGGAATTATGTCCTTGAATGGGTTGACTGATGGGGAGCCAGTGAGACCTAGGGTGTGGTATGAAAGGGAATCAGTGAGAGCACTGGTGTGAGGGGACACCGCGCTGGCCTAGGCCAGGGTGGAGTGCCCAGTAGGAATCATCTGACTGCTTGGGGCTCCCCTGGGATGGAGGCAGCTTGCTTGGATCAGCTGAGATGGGGATTCTGGCAGGGATGGATCCTGAGGTGAGCCTCGGCTTTTAAGAGTTGTGGGTGTTCAAGCTTTACTCCTGCTGTCAGCCAGGGAAGGGGGAAAGACTGGAGGAAGGGCTGGAGACAGCTTGTCGTTGTCATTGGTTGCATCAGGTGGTTGGAAATGCAGGGATTTTCCTCTCTAAGCCACCCCACCCCTTTATGCAAATGCAGTGGCACCACAGGCTGATGCAAGCCTGGCCCCTGCTAAGCAATTCTGCACAAGTATGCCCTTGCTTGCCATGGCCAGCCTTCTACAAGCCATGTTTTCAGGGTTCCCATTCTCAAAAGGAGAGGTGTTTCCTGATTCCTCCTCCTTTTTAAAGTAGGGGTGAGGTAGCCTTGCCCTTCAGCCTGGGTGTGTCTCTGATCCACATCTTTAAGCCTGCAGACCTGTGTGGTGAACTAGCGGCTTTTGCTTTGACTCTTTTTTGGGGTGGGTGGGTGCCGTAATGCCTGGAGTAGATGAATGAAGTCTTGTTGGTGCAGAGGAACCAGGGGGCAAAGACAGCAGGCATAGGGCTAGGAGGGCCCTCACCCAGGACTAACTAGAGCGATGCTAGGAGGGACCTCTGAGGGACAGGACAGGGAGGGGCCCTTGGAATGTGAGAGCTAAAGTCATGGTGGTCTGTCTTTCAGGACATAGATCTGATTGACATCCTTTGGCGGCAGGATATTGATCTGGGGGCTGGGCGTGAGGTTTTTGACTACAGTCATCGCCAGAAGGAGCAGGATGTGGATAAGGAGCTGCGAGATGGAGGCGAGCAGGCGGACACCTGGGCAGGCGAGGGTGCGGAAGCTCTGGCCCGAGACCTGCTAGTGGACGGAGAGACGGGGGAGAGCTTCCCTGCACAGGTACCACTGCCTCGGCTCACTGGCCTCACTTCTCCCTACATCCCCAAGATTCACCAGGCTGAAGTTCTTCCAGAAACTTCCCCTTAAAGAAGGCAGGTTGTGCCTTGAGGTGGACATGAATGTCTATTTTGGGTTGTGGTCTATAAGTCAGTGGCTGGGCTGCAGAAGGGGGCGGAGATGGCAGCAGAGCCATCTCCAGGCTGTGGCAGCAGTGCAAAGGAGCCAAAGCATCGTGAACCTTTCTGCTTGTACCAGGACTTTTCCACCCTACTGTTGTCCCTAGGAGTTTGGGACTTGGGGCGTGCCATTAACTGGAAATGGGAAGGAGACTACAGGCCTGCAGCTGTGCTGGGGAAGAGGTGTCAGGCTCAGGCAGCCAGGGCCCAGGTCAGCCAGACTTACAGTTGCTGTTGCCACAGGTGCCTGGTGGGGAGGACCAGACGGCCCTGTCCCTGGAAGAGTGCCTTAGGCTGCTGGAGGCCACCTGCCCCTTTGGGGAGAATGCTGAGGTGAGCAGGACCAGGGAAAGCCCACCGAGTAAGCAGGGCAGGCTGCACATGGCATGTTGCTCCATGGCTGGCTGCAGTGCCAGCTCTCAGTTCTGGCCTGGTCCTGGCTGCTGTGGGTGAATTCAGAGGAAGGAAGAAAACAGGAAGCCAGGTTGTAGTGGCTGGGAGGAAAGCAGAAGGTGGTCTTTCCTTCTCCAGTTGAAGCCTCTGTGTTCTGCCCTAGTTCCCAGCAAACGTCGCCAGCATAACAGAAGCAGTGCCTAGTGAGAGCGAGCCCCCCGCTCTTCAAAACAGCCTCTTGTCTCCTCTCCTGACGGGGACAGAGTCACCATTTGATTTGGAACAGCAGTGGCAAGATCTCATGTCCATCATGGAAATGCAGGTAGGGCTGTCCGAACAGCACAGACCTACAGGGTTTTGTGTAGGGTGTCCTAGTACGCAGTCACCTGCATCTCTCGGGAGAGAGGAACAGTTTTTCTGGCTGATACTTAAGAGAGTGGGGACACTGAGAGGAAACCTGTCTAGGTATGTCCTTGGGACTGTGAGGGCTAAAGTCAAGGTGGGTTTTAGGTTAAAACCCAGGACTGGGCCTTCCAAAGCAGATCCTGCCTCCTAGGTGTACCTTCTTTCTTTTTCTTCAGGCAGATAGTCCCTTGACTCTGTGCTTCTATAGTTCAGCATTAAAGATGACTGATGTTTGAAATGGAGCCTATTATAAACATTTATGAATATGTCAAAATTAACCCCAACTATCACATATAACTATAATGCATTGATAAGAAAAAATTTAAAAAGTAATAGCTGACGTTCACATAGTGCTTTACATCCATTATCATCTCACTTGCTCTTAAAATCATCCAGTCAGCCTTTTTTTATTTTAAATGTGAGGAAATTAAAGCTCAGAGAGGTTAGGTGATAAGCCCGTGGTCATACAGCACCATGGTGTGGCTAGGCTTTCTGATTCCTGTCTGGGTGTTCTTTTCAATGTGCTAGTGTTATTCTTTGTCTCCAAGGTGGGGGGGGGTCTGGTTACACATGACCGGGAACAGGTCAGTCCTGCACTGGGGTGGAGTCCACACAGAGGAACCCACTCCTGCCAGGCCTAGTGGTCCAAGTATGACCAGGAGCGGATACTGGGCTTTGTTTTCCAGCCTCTTGCCTTGCGCCTAGGTAGCTGTGCTTCTGGTGGGTCCTGCAAGGTGTGGACCTCAGGGAGGAGTCTGCTCCTAGTGAACAGTATGTTCTTCTCCCTCCCAGGCCATGGAAGTGAACACATCAGCAAGTGAAATCCTGTACAATGCCCCTCCTGGGGACCCACTGAGCACCAACTACAGCCTTGCCCCCAACACTCCCATCAATCAGAATGTCAGCCTGCATCAGGCGTCCCTGGGGGGCTGCAGCCAGGACTTCTCCCTCTTCAGCCCTGAGGTGGAGAACCTGCCTGTAGCCAACAGCTCCACACTGCTCCCGCTGGTCCCCAGCAACTCCACCAGCCTCAACTCCACTTTCAGCTCCACCAACCTGGCAGGGCTCTTCTTTCCACCCCAGCTCAATGGCACAGCCAATGACACAGCAGGCCCAGAACTGCCTGACCCACTGGGGGGTCTGTTAGACGAAGCCATGCTGGATGAGATCAGCCTGATGGACTTAGCCATCGAGGAGGGCTTCAATCCTGTGGAGGCCTCCCAGCTCGAAGAGGAGTTTGATTCTGACTCAGGCCTTTCCTTGGATTCCAGCCACAGCCCTTCCTCCCTGAGCAGCTCTGAAGGCAGCTCTTCCTCCTCCTCTTCCTCCTCTTCCTCTTCTTCTGCCTCTTCCTCTGCCTCTTCCTCCTTTTCTGAGGAAGGTGCTGTTGGCTACAGCTCTGACTCTGAGACCTTGGATCTGGAAGAGGCTGAGGGCGCGGTGGGCTACCAGCCTGAGTATTCCAAGTTCTGCCGCATGAGCTACCAGGATCCGTCCCAGCTGTCCTGCCTGCCCTACTTGGAGCATGTGGGCCATAACCACACGTACAACATGGCCCCCAGTGCCCTTGACTCTGCTGACCTGCCACCACCCAGCACCCTAAAGAAAGGCAGCAAGGAGAAGCAGGCCGATTTCCTGGACAAACAGATGAGCCGGGACGAGCACAGAGCCCGTGCCATGAAGATTCCTTTTACCAACGACAAGATCATCAACCTTCCTGTGGAGGAGTTCAATGAGCTACTGTCCAAGTACCAGCTGAGTGAGGCCCAGCTGAGCCTCATCCGGGACATCCGGCGTCGGGGCAAGAACAAGATGGCAGCGCAGAACTGCCGCAAGCGCAAGCTGGATACCATCCTGAACCTGGAACGGGACGTGGAGGACCTGCAGCGTGATAAGGCCCGACTGCTGCGGGAGAAGGTGGAGTTCCTCCGGTCGCTGCGGCAGATGAAGCAGAAGGTTCAGAGCTTGTACCAGGAAGTGTTTGGGCGGCTGCGGGATGAGAACGGGCGGCCCTACTCGCCCAGTCAGTATGCGCTACAGTATGCCGGGGATGGCAGTGTTCTCCTCATTCCCCGCACAATGGCTGACCAGCAGGCCCGGCGACAGGAGAGGAAGCCAAAGGACCGGAGAAAGTGAGCCTGGGGAGGCAGGGGGTGATGCTCACCAAGACTGAAACTTGAGAAGGGCTGGGCCTGGACCTGGACCTAGACCTACTGCGGGGACTTCAATGCCTTCTTATCCAATATATCTTCTCAGATGGGATGACTGCGGGTCAGTGTACAGGAAGAGGCGGGCGCAGGCGCTGTCTGGCTCCACTTCCCCCCAGTGGGGTGGGTGGAAGTGGCCAAACCACCTGGGTGGTCGAGGTCCACCCTTACCCCTTTGTGGTGAGGAATGTGTGGTGTCAGCGTTGCTGGAGGTAGAGGAGCAGCTAGTGTGGAGGCCAACAAAGGGAAGGGACTAGTGACAGGAAAGGAAAGGAGTAGAAAGTTTTATTCCTAGAATGGAAGGAAGGAAACCCAAAAAATCAAAGCGGTCAGAAAAATCACAGGGAAAGTTAAGGTGGGCTTTGGCCAGGATTCCAGGCAACAGGTTTGAGCAACTCTGGTGGGTCTAGGTTACTGGTGTGATAAACCCTATTTCACCCCAGAGGGGTACACAGACACAGGGTGGGATGGGGGAGGGGCTCTGTTAAACTCTTTCTGTTCCTTGCACTTTGGTATCCCTGAAGGGGGGGGGCTCTTGGATTTCATCTGTGATGTTTTGGTCAAATGGGAGCCTTGGGGAACCAACACTGGCTTGTTGGTTTAGGGCCAGAGGGCAGAGGGAACAGAAGAGGGTCATGTGTTGCAGTAGCCCCAACACCAAGCATGTCACTCACTGCCCTGCCACTGCCATCTCCCTCTGTGCTCCAGTTGCCCTGAGCTGAGGCTCCTAGTGTCTCCATCAGAGCCTGCATGGAAACGCCGTACTCTACCCACTGCTGCCCTGCTGCCGCCTTTGTGTTCCTGCCCCTCACTGGCTCCCTGCAGCTCTTTGGGAGTGGGGCACTCTGCTGGCTGGCAGTGCTTGGGACTGGGCCTACAGCTTCCTCTCTTGGGAGCTGCTCTGGAGGCAGGGGGATGATGTGGAGGGAGAAGCCAGCACTTCAGGCAGTGTTCAGCACAACTGGGGAGTGATTCTTCCCTCAGGCCTTGGCCTATCAACAACTGGTCTTGTCACTGGGGAGAAACAAAACCCCTACAAAACCCAGCAACAAGAAACTAGTCCTCATAGAATTTCTTGCGCTTTGTTTTTTAGGGCTTGTGCCCTGTTCCACTTAAAGGGTCTAGGATGCTTGTGTTAAGTAAGGAGGAGATGACCCACTATTCAAAGCTGCTAAATGTTCTCTTTGCCATAAAAACTCCGTGTAACTGTGTGAACACTTGGGATTTTTTTTCTCCTCTGTCCCCAGGTCTTGTCTGCTTTCTTTTTTGGGTTTCTTTCTAGGAGAATGAGAAGTGCATGTAATGGGGGGCCGAGAGCACCTTCCCCCAGGCTCTCGGCCACAGGCAGCTTCTCCACAGCTCCAGCTTAGCCTGGGCTCCTGGAACACTGCCTGGGGGAGGCAGCAAGGGGAGCACCAAGTGGCCAGATGGTTCCAGGACCACAATGTCTATTTGTAACTGTTTGCCACTGCTGCCCCCACCCCTGCTTGGCTCTGGAGTTCTGTCTGCCCCAGATTAGCAGGAGTGAGTTATGGGGGAAAGCACTGATTCCTCTCCCCCCGTGGGGAGGGGGGAGTTTCTAACTGAGCAGTAGGGATAGAAGGCGAGAGCCTGGGAGTGCTTTTTATAAATTATTTTCCTTGTAGATTTTATTTTTAATTTATCTCTGTGACCTGCCAGGGAGAGGAGAGAAAGAGAGATGCTGTGAGCACATGACAAAATAAAATAAAATAAAATGGATGATTCATTCTCAAGTGCAGTTTCTCCCCACTTGGAATTCAAACAGAGTAAAGGAAATGGGGGGAGGATTGGTCATTATGTGGCTAAGGCAGAACTCCAGTGGGAAAGTGGGTGGAGAGCTGTGGAGGCTTGACAATCAGATATTTTAAAAGGACAAAAGGAAGTGTCACCTGGCCTAGTTCCCTACCTGTCCACAAGTTAGTGACTGCTCTCCCTACCCTGCCCCCTGTACTGGGGATTGAACCCAGGGGTGCTTTACCACTGAATTACATCCCAAGCCCTTTTTATCCATGGTCTTGCTAAGTTGCACAGGCTGGCCTTGAACTTCTGATCCTCTTCCCTCAAGTCTATATAGTTGCTGGGATTATAGACATGTGCCAGGCTACAATAAGGTGACTAGAATCTGTTATCCCTCCAAAACACCTACTCTAGTCAGGCATGGTGGCACACACCTATAATGCAGCAATTCAGGCTGAGGCAGGAGGATCGCAGGTGTGAGAACAGCCTGAACAACTTTGCAAGACCCCATCTCAGAAAAAAAAAGGTAAAGCCTATGATCTTGAACTCCCTTGTATGATGTATAACCTGGCTCAGCTCACTCCTTTAATAATGCTACTAGAACAGAATTCTAAAACTTAAAAAGGGGCAAGGCAACTAAAAACAAAATTTGAAATAAAACCTCAATTCATGATGATAGTTTAAAAAAATACAAATCATAACCTAGAAGGGTAACAGTGCAGTTGTTTTGTATCCTTTTTACCTTTGCCCCTTTGTCTTGTCCTTACTTTAGTGTATTTTTGTTGTAACAGATGGACAGTTTTGTCCAGGATAATGCTCACCTCTTTTTGCTGCTGGCAGTGGGTATTAGAACCTCCAGACTTTCTCTGGTAGAAGACAGGACTTAGGTTAGGGCTGAGGAAGGGCTGCTAGGGCTAATCCATTCATTCAAGTCAGAAGTAAGAAATCCTGGTGTGAGGCAGGGAGATAAGCTGTTCTTGGGCTGACTTCAGTCAGCAAAATGATTTTTCCATGTCTTACTCTTGTTAGGAAATGGATGTGGACCCACTGTTTCAAACTACTCCTTCCTAGATCTCACCATTGAAGCTATGAAAACAATTACAGAACTGAGGGGCAAAGTAGTGACCTAGAGTTATGCCTCCATGGCAGACTCACCCATTCTTCCTGGAAAAACTGAACAGTAATAGTCAGACACCTTGGTTACATTGAAGCCCTGCTTTCCTCAGGCTGATCTTGTCCATGATTTTATTACCCTCAGCTAAACCAGACCTTGCTTGCTGTGTTCAGGCTTGTGGTAAACTGCTGAAATAAGTGCCCTACCAAAAAAAAAAAAAAAAGTCCCTACCACCTTCAAGACTCCTATCTTATCCTATGGGCTTTGACCAAGGACAACCTTAGACTGAATAAGAATTTAGGCACTACCTAGTGAACAGATGAAGAGCAAGAATTCTATTCCCATTATTGATGCTACTGATACACAAATACAAGTACTATCTGCCTTTCCAGAACCCATTTTCCCAGTCAGGTAGAAACAATGTGGCAGAACCCATGTACATGATTAAATCATCAGGAGTGGATGAGCCTTGTTTTCCTATCAGTAATCCATCTGGTAAGTGAATTGAAAACTATGATTTGTCATTTTGCCAGTGTACCAAAAAATCACTACCTTTTCACCTTTTCTTCTTACTCAGAAGTCAATCATCCTTGCCTCTGATTCCAACTTTGTAGTGGAGGACAGAACATTGTAAAGAGGATTATTTTCAAAGTCAGCTGGATAGAAGCCCTCATTTTCCTTGCTGAGTACATAAAAATACCAACACAGGTCTTAAAGCTGCTTCTTTTTCAACCTAACTTAAATTGCAAAATTGAGACAGGCTGCACATCACTCTTTACTCAATCCCTCTTTATTATTTCAACTAAGAAAGGAGTTAAACATTCTGACTTTTGTTTTAAACACAAGTTTGATTGAACAGTTGATTAAATCTCCCAATCCTCATTAGGGGCTGAAGCAGTAACTGAAAAAAAAGGGGCTAATGTCCCAGAGCCAGGCCTCCTGAGTTGTTCAGCTTGACCTTAGGCTATGTAAACAGCAAACAGGGCAGGTTTGGTCAAAGTCATCTAAGATTTAAAAATGTATCTGGGGGCCGAGCATGGTGGTACACACCTGTAATCCCAGAGACTTGGGAGGCTGAGGCTGCAGGATTGTACATTTGAGGGCAGCCTCAGCAATTTAGTGAGACCCTCAGCAACTTGGACCTTGTCTCAAAAATTAAGGAGGACTGGGAATGCAGCTCAATGGTCAAGTGCCTCTGGGATCAATCTCTGGCGCAAAAAAAGAAAAAAAAAAAACTGCCTTAATTACCACTCTGCTTGCCCCCACAGTGTAGGGCCTACAGTGCTTTTCATCCCAGCAAGATAGTTATCAGATTTTACTTGCTTTTAACAGTTACCAGTTTATTCAGTGGGAAGCTTACAAGACCACAATTAAGTTATCCATGAAAGAGATGATAGATAAACAGGAACTTTTGGAGAAAACTTCCCTGTTGCACAGAGCCAATCCACGGTAATCCAGAGAGACTGGTAGCTGTCAATCTTGACATCTTAATTGCCAAATCTCTTTAATCCCACACCAAAACACTAGAATGCCTCCGTTTGATTATAGCTTCCTATGCCAAAAGCCAAGACTCTTGTACCAGGTTGAATACTGGCTCAATAGTGATACTTGTACAGCCATGCATCACATAGATGACAGCCTTGCATATCTAACAGTCTATACCACATAGACTACATCTAGGTTGGGTAAGGATGCTCTATGATGTCCACACAACTAAGAAATCACCTAATGATATATTTTTCAGCGCACAGCCCATTATTAAGTGAGGAAAACCCTGAGCCTATCCTTTGTTTAGTCCCATCAGTTGTAAGTTTCAAGTGAGAGTATCCTCATGAGAAGATCCTATTTGCATATAAGATTAATCCTACTCCCTAGTTCAGGATCTGGAACTACCACTGAAAGAGCTAGATGTGGATTTCAGAGTTCCAGTTTTGAAATATTCTGGAGTAGCAAATTCATCTTATTTCCCATTTTACTATAAGAGAAATAACTGCTTTATAATACAGATTCCCAATGCCATAGACCATAAAGACGTACAGAGCACAAAATTTAAAAATCAAAGGAAGCTGAATATGGCCACCACAAAATTAAGTTCTGGAATATATTTTCTAAAAATAAAAATTCAGCTACTTCTAAAATTGGTGATCAAAACTTTCAAACAAACTGGGTGTGGTAATGCATGCCCGTAACTCAAGCAATTTGGGAAGCTGAGGTAAGTTCAAGACCTGTCTGGGTTAGCTAGACCCTGCCTCAAAGGGTTAGGGATGTGGGTCAATGGTAGTACACCCCTGAGTTCAGTCCCCTATGTCACAAAAGCAAACAAAACCTTTCAAACGACATTAATGAAGAAACTGAAACCATCACTTCTCAGTCCTGTCAGTTTTAAAAGGGTGTTTCTGTGGTTGTATTGTCCACTTAAAATACTAAATAGAAGCTCAACTGAAGAAACTACAGGAGCAAGATTTTTACTAGTAAGCTTTTCTAGTAGCAACCAAGGTAATAATATACCTCCTCCTCAGCTCCTGGACAAGAGTGGTCTATGATGGTGCAATATCATGAAAGCCAGCCAACGCACATTTCTACACTGCCCCAAGAAATGTTTTCTGGAGAACATTCCCTAGAGCAGACAAGATCTCTTGTAGCTGAACAAGGTGATGCACCACCTGTGATCCCAGCTACTCAGTAGGCTGAGGCAGGAGTATTGTAAATTCAAGCCCAGCCTTAGCAATTTAGCTAGACCCTGTTTCAAAATAAAAATTTTCTTAAATTGTCTTTTTATATTTATTTCTAACATTTTGGCCACAACTATCACTTAATAAGAATTATTCATCTTCACCTCAGCATTCACTGCATGCACATCAATTTTAATGTTTTTCCTGAAGAATGATATGGTTTTAAAAACAGGTCAGAAATGCCAGAAATGATGGTGAAGTTGAGTCCAAACAGCTAAAATTGAATAGCAGTCCATTGGATATGTATCAAGGCTGCAGTCTCTCTTCAGTACATCTGATGGTACAGAACAGATCCAGAAGCTGGGAGTGGTGGCACTATAATCACAACTACCAAGGAGGCAGAGGCTGGAGGATCATAAGTTTGAAGGACAACTCAGTGCAACCCTGTCTCAAAAAAGTGATGGGATGTAGCTCAGTGGCAGAGTACCCCTGGGTTCAGTTGCCTAGCCCAGCAAAACACACTCATACATCCATACGCAGAATGCCTCTACCCATCTTACCAAAACTCTCAGCAGCCACTGATTGCTGTGCTGTCACCTACAAGGATACACTCAGGCCTCTGAACAGAAAGGGTCTCCAGTTTCAAAAACTTAACTTACATCTCCCCCAAAACTTTCCTTAGGAGGCTGTTTGAAAAAAAAGTACCTACACATCAGTTTATTTGAAACCAATGCTTAGTACTGGTGAGCAAAGCTCAACTGTTACATTGATCTGATCTCAATGAAAACCCTACTCTCCCCAACCCAGGACCTCACACATGCTAGGTATGGTGTTCTACCACTGAGAAATTTCCTTTTTTAAAAATGACAAGAGTCCAGTCCCTTTTTGGCTGTAAAATTTTAGGCAGAAAATAACAGTAAGAAACAAATGATCATTCAATTCAATGCTCAAACACAGTGCTGGTTCCTGAAAAATTTGGAGGTGATTTTTAGAAAATGTCACATAATCTATTACATACCAGAGCCAGACCTAAACCTACCTCATAAAATCCATGTTTCCAAATATATCATAGTTTTTAAATGTTATCTGGTCAGAATGCTTAATAAATAAACTTTCAATAATGATAAAAAATGACAATTTTTACAATATCTGCAGCTCAATAAGTAGTTATTAAATAAATTAAAGCCCAGACATCAGATTTTC